AATTGGGGCAAATCTCTGAGGAGATCTCGAATTCGTTACAAGCTGATCCTTTGAGATTTTTCAAATCTTAAATTGGGGCAAATCTCTGAGGAGATTTGCTCAGGGTGTTTGGTATTCTTTTGTGAATAGCAAATATCCTTCTGCCTTCCCCCAATAAATGCTGGCTCAGCATTTGAGGGGATGTGACAGTTGCAGGCGGCGAGTTTTGTGCGCTTAACCATAAATGACCGTCATGTGGACCCGTTTAATTGGGGGGCCATAAACACGCGTACAATGTTCAAGGAGCACTATCTGAAGGAAAAGGAACAAAAGCAGTTACTCAACCATTTCCTATTCCATTACACAATACGTTAGTATTTTCTTTAGAGAAGGTTATAGAGACGCTCCAGGCCATTCCTTAGAACTTTCAGCGAAAGGACAACAGGTTTCAGATACTCAGGTAAAAATGGCTTCTTTTCATGATGTAAGAGAGCTTCGGGGTAACCAGGGTGGGGAAGATGAAGTGGATGTTATATCAGTGGAGCCCATCGCCATGATAGTGCCACCGGAGTTGCAGGATTTGCCCGGAACCATTACATCGGAGAGTAGTGCTAGTTCGAGCGCAGGTGGTGGTTTTGGTGACCACCGTTCTTCAACTTCCAGCGATTCATCCGTTGAAGAGACACCTAGTGAAGTGGGGGGCGTTGAAGAGGGTGGTTGTAGTGCGTCGGTGATAAGATTTTTGAGTTATTCCCGGCTGATGCACCAAATCTGTTGACGATCACTTAAGATTTTTTCAAAATAAATTGAAAATCAAGTGTGAAAAATATAATAAGGAGGAAGTCGCCACTCATCCAGATTATAAGGTGGGACAAGTCACCTAAAACGGGTCTGCGCAGAGATCGGGGTTCGGGAGTTCGGTTATGAGTGAGGAAGGGCATACGCGCACCTCACAATCCTCTGTTTAAACATGGTTGCATACTTTAAAATTGGGGTTTTAATTCAACTTATTTATTATATTTATATTTGGATCTTAATAAACAAGCTTGAAAAGAGATAAACCAAATTGCAACATTTTTAACATTTTGGACTAAAGTGGACAAAATCAAAGACATTCATGCACAATAACATAAACAAGAAGTTAAGGGACTAACTTGATTAAATTCACAAACATAGAGGACTGATAGGAAAAAGAGTTGACCCATGGACTAACTTGTTTAATCTTGAAAGTTCTGGGTAAAATTAAAACAAGGAAAGATAATTTTGACTTTTAGCAAGATTAAAGGAAATTAAAGATTTAAATTAATTAACTAAGATAATTGATTTAATTAAATGATTAATTTATCATTAATTAAAATTAATTAATTATATTTATAAATCTTTTTAATCAAGATAATTAAATAATATAATTATCTTAAATTAAGATCAATAAAAATGATTAATTTATTTTAATTAAAATT